ATCCTGCTGGTTAACAGTCCTCCCCACATCTCCTTTTCTTAGCTGAGTAGCAGAGCCTCTTACTGCAGGCAGCTCTACTTCCCTCCTGCTTATTTTTAGTCTCTGTGCTGTTTTTGTTTGAGTCTTACTCAGGCATCTTGAGCGTTTCGGTAAGGAAAAGGCAAATCTAAGCAGAGAGAAGCCAGGGCTCCGAGATCCGTAAACAGGATGCAGAAGACAGCGAGATGCATCCCGTGGTCCCGGCTTCATCCCGAGCAGCAGGGAAACAGGGGAGTTTTGCAGCTTGCAAGTTTACAAGGACTTTCCTGAGCAAGGCTGTTGTTAAGAGGCCTCTTGTCAGCTTGGCCAGCATTTTATTTGCCGCAGATGTTTCTAAAAACAAGGGAGGGAAGATACTTCAGCCTGAACTTTTGCTAACATCCCAATCCACCTGCTCTATTCACCGAAGTTCCCCCACGCCATGAAAATTTTCTCATGTTGCTGCTGAATCTTCTCAGGTTCAGCTGGCCCATTGGGTGCTTATTGGCCCTTCTGTCCTCCGTTGGTTACCCTTCTGGAAAGGGATGATGCATTAAAAAGGTGGAAGTTTCCTGGGATCGGTGCACCTTGGCAGCTCAAGAGAGAGCACACAATCTTCACCTGAATTAAGTTATGATCAGCTCAAAAAAAGAGCGGAATGCTTTGATGTCCCAAATGTCTTCTCTAAGGTTAAAGACCAGGGTTCACGTATCTCCAGTTGGGCGTCTAAGTCCTGAAACCACCAGTTTTCATGTGATCCAGCATTATTTATATTGTCCACGTCCCTTGTCAGGCCTAGGTCTGTTAGAGGGATAAACCTGGCATTTCCACAGCTCTGTTACGTCCTCTGGGAATGTGAAAGACTTAAGCCTGGAAATCACACCAAATATCAAGGCTTTGCCCGCTCAAAGGGGCTCCGTTTCTCGCCGCCATCGTGGCCATGGCCTACAGGACAAGTTGCTTCAGATGTCCCCCTCTCCAGCCCTCTCTTTGCACCGTCTGCTCCTCAAGCAGGGGCTTCGTGGGCAGCAGGGAGGCCTCATGGTGGTCCCGTGGGTGACAGGAGCTCTCCAGTGCCAATCCCGAAGGGAATATCTGACGTGGGGACCTGCCTATGCCTAAGGAACACCCCCAGCTCCCACGTCCTCTCCTCCTCCTCTCTTCTGCCTCCACCTTCACTGAGTTTGTCTCTAGGTCCCATCCTCCAGCACTTCCCAAACTCCCCAACATTTGTCCCCGGGCTCGCTGGGCACATGGAGCCACACACACGGACCAACCACCAAAGAAACAAGCAGGGCTTCCAACAACCCATTTTTTTGGGGGGTGCATTAAACTAAAAACACCCCAAAACAACCTCCCCACGCGCAACTCTCAGAACCCAGCTTGCCAGGGCGGCTTGCACGGCGGAACCGCTACCGGGTGCCCGCGGCGGCACCGGCTTGGGGGGAAGCCCCGGGGGGCGGTGGGGACGCGGCCGCGGCCTTACCGGGAGAAGAGGACGGCGCCGCCGGCCGCGGGCCGGTAGCG